CAACAAATGAAAGTGTTCCAGAAACCTCTTGACAAGGAGGACAGCTCAGCAAGACTCTGGATCATGACAGCGCCTGCCAATATGCACATACAAAGCACAACACGTCCGGAATAATTTCTGATCCGATTTCACCTGATCCGATCCGATCTGGTCGATTTCAAACTCTGAAATCGATCACCAAGTCAGACACGCCTACCAGGCAGACCAACAGCTTGTTGGAGCTAATGGATGATACCTGTTCAAGGAATAAACACTGTGACGCTCAGGCATGCCGGAAGGGTGCAGGGGCCGGGGGGAGCTTAAGATGGGAGCAGACCAACCACGTCTACGGACTGGTACCTCAGTGGAAGAGCATCTGTAGCGGCAATCAGAGGCTCCCGGGTTCGAATCCCGGTCAATCCATTTTAGCGGCCAAATACCCAAATATAAGCATGCTGTGACTGTCTTAAAGAGGATCGGCACCTCGTGAGTTGGCAGTTTTCAACATGGTGGCACCACAGGTGACATGCAGAGGGTTCTCCCTTGGAGGGGGAGTGTTGGAGCTAATGGATGATAGCTGTCCAAGGAATAAGCTCTGAGACGCTCAGGCACACCGGAAGGGTGCTGGGGTCAGGGGGAGACTAAGATGGAAGCAGACCAACTATGTCTATGGACTGGTAGCTCAGTGGATGAGCAACTGTACCGGCAATGAGAGGGTCCCTGGTTCGAATCCCAGTCAATCTATCTTAGCGACTAAATATTTAAATGTAAGCATGATGGTCTAAATGAAGATTGGCTCCTCGTTAGTTGGCAGTTGCAACAACTAATGCTGAGTCTTAAGCCTTACTGGGTTTGACCTTGTTCTATTGATGTCGTTGATGTCCCTTGCTGGGTTTGACTTTGTTCTATTGATGTCGTTGATGTCCCATGCTGGGCAACCAGGGAGTAAATTACCGCGGTATAGGTCTTCTCTCTGTCAGCGACGGCAGTTTTATCCTTACCCTTGCCTCCACCCAAGCTAAGACCTCCATTGCCCTTCCCCTGCTTCTGCTCCCCCTCCTCTCCTGATTTCCCACGTGCCCCTCCTCCCGCTTGGGGGCCTTCCCATGGCCATTGTCCCGTCTTCCCACAGTTGTTGCAGTCACACTTCTTTTTCCCTGCGACGTTGACAAGGTGGTTTCGGCTACCATGGCCTCCTCCTCCTCCCGATCCGTTCGACCGGAGACGTGGACGCACAGGAGGAGCTGGGCGAGTGCTATCTGGGTGGCGACGGGGTCAAGCGGGATAAGAGGATGGCCACGAAATGGTTTCGGCAGGCGGAGAGGCAAGGCACGAGGTTGGTTCAGTCCAGTTGGATCTGGAAACCTTAGTACAATCAATAGATGTGGTGTGCGAACTCTTCCCTTCTCCCCCCTCCCCTCCCCTTTGCACTTTTCTCACTATTCTCGGTTCATACTCCCATCCCACCAACTCCTTTTCCATCACTTCTTGTGTATATCTTCCGAACTTTTAACTTCTACGTCCAAGTGACATGTGAAATATAAATCGATTGTATTGAAGAGACTCCTGCCCGGGCGTCGTCGCTATAGAAACTATTGTGCGAGAGCGCACATCTCACCACCTCCCTCGGCCGCGAATTTTGAAATACCAATAAGCGATTCCCGCTGCCGCCCCGCCTACGTGGCCGGCAGTGTCAACCCGGCCGCCGGTGCCCGTGAAACTTCTGTACACGTCGTACGCTACAAAACCGCTAAAAGCAATCCAAGCGGGCACAGGAACGATGAAAAAGAGAAGGAGCTGAAGAGTGGACGCGAGAGGAGGAGGGGGAGGGGAAGGTTAGAGGGCGACATATGGGGATGGGCTCTCCTCGCGGAATAATTCGCCGATTTATCCACCGTACCTCGGCCATCGGATACGTGGCGGCAAAGACCACCGTCGTCCCCGAGAGCGACCCGCTAGCTCCATGCGTGTTGGTGAGCCGATTCGTCTCAAGGCTAAACAGGAGCGAGGCTACCGACGATGACAATCCCGCAATGACGTACAGCGAGAGGAAGCCCATGGGGCCAAGAATGGGCATGACTGCAGGGCCAAAGGTGTACAACATGAACATGTTCAGGCCGAGGTGCCAGACTTCGTTATGACTGAGGGCTCATAGCAAGGGGGGGGGGGGGGGGGGCCGAGACCGGCGATTAGATTCCTTGCCTTATTTACATAACCCACATCGACCATGATGAGATCGCCCTTCGCTCCGCCTCTCATCCCAAATCTAGACCGTTGCCTACCTGAAGTTGCACGTGAGCATAGTCCACCATCGCCCCGACATCACACTATTCACCGAGAGCAAAAAGTTTTCCGACATGAACCGCAGGAGTCTGGAGTCCCCTCTGGCCCGCTCGTTGAAGCCAAGCTGCCAGAAGCAAAATACTAAATGCGCCGCGTCAGAGGCAGTTGGGGTTGGTCCGCAGAAACGGTGCCCACGGCGCAGAAGTGGCCACACCATTCGACTAAACTCACCGACAGCGTTGACCCCGATGAGGCCCCAGATGACCATGTTGTCGTCAATCCGGTTGGTCAGCCGCTTGACACGCCGCATCAGGTCCGACGGCGGGGGCGATCGCTTCTCGTCATACCAAGTTGACCGGACATTTCGGGATTGAAGCGGCGGGCGGGGAAATATTACAGGTGGGCGTATACCGGCGAAGGGAGCAGAGGGCCGTCGAAGGGCGCGGGTGCTGGTGGTAGCGGGGAAGGGGGAGGGGGTGGACAGGAACGTGTGGGTTGTTCTGATCGATCTGAGGGGGAGGGCCGGCGAACGGACGGGGGGCGGGGGGAGCAATGTGGAACAGGAGGGGTTGGGGAGGGCGGGGGCAGGGCGGCCCAAGAGGGCGAGGCGCGGGAAGCGGCCGATAGCCCAAAGGAGGTTTCCGGACAACATTCGAAATGGGGTGTGGTGAAAATGCAGGCGTAGCGAAGAACTGAGAATATGCCCACCGCGGTCATTTGGACCGAGCGACGCGTCTGACGTATTTTTCCCCGACGCCACCTTCTCCTTTGTCTCTCCTCCGCTCTTCTAGCAGTCAACCTCCTGAGAGCAATGGATCATGGTTTTTACATACTAATTGAAGTGATACAGTCGGGATGATCTATCTAGGGGGGGTGGGGGGTGGGAAGGAGAATGCATTGATACAAGAAGGGGTGGGGAGGCAATACAGCCTCGTTTTACATTGGACGGTGGGCCGGAGCAATGCTCGTGGAGAGGAAAGGGAAACCGCGGGAAAGCAGGCGGGGGTGGTCTACGTTTCCTGCCAGATAGGGACGTAGCCGCCCGCTTCAACTCCCCCGGGTGCAGGGCCTGCAGGCACCCAAAGCGGAATGTACTTTTCGTCCGACGCAACCGGCGCATTGGAGAAAGGCTGCCGCACCGGCTGGGTGGTGCTATTCAGCGGGAACGTCGCGCTCGACGAGGCCGTCGCAGCCACGCAAGCAGAGCCATTCCAGGTGAACCCATCCTCGCAAACGCATTGGTCCCCGGCCGCGTTCATCTTCCCGTTGAGCGGGCACTGCGACGCTCCAGTCGCCTCGACCTGCTCCGGCGCCCCCAACTTGCACACGGCCGCATCAGCGTCCCATATGAAGCCGCTGTTGCACACGCAATTGTCCTGGGTCGCGTCCATGTGCGCATTACTGGGACAGGACGCGCCAGACGGGGTCGAGGCGCACTCGGAACCGGTCCATGTGAACCCGTCATCACACACGCATCGAGCTAGGGAGGCATCGATGTGGCCGTTGGACGGGCAGGGCGTGGAGGAAGACAAGACGCACGTAGATCCGGTCCAGGTGAAACCGTCATCGCACACGCATCGGTCGAGGGAGGAGTCGAGGTGGCCGTTGGACGGGCAGGACGTGGAGGAAGACAAGACGCACGTAGATCCGGTCCAGGTGAAACCGTCATCGCACACGCATCGGTCGAGGGAGGAGTCGAGGTGGCCGTTGGACGGGCAGGACGTGGAGGAAGACGCGTCGCAGTCGGATCCAGTCCAGTCGAACCCGGCATCGCACACGCATCGGCCGAGAGAGGAGTCGAGGTGGCCGTTGAGCGGGCAAGAGCCGTTGGGCGCGCGCACCTCCAGAGACTGGTGGTATGCTGGGCCCTTCGTGCCGATCGGGAGAGCCAGGATGGGTGTCCCGGCGAGCGCGAGAAAAGGGAGGAGAAGGTGCGGTACGTGCATATCGCGCGGCTGAGCAGACACAGTGGGAGGTGGAAGTGAAGGCTGAGGAAGGGGAGGAGGTGGGTTGTTGGACTTGATGCGAAGGCGGGTTGGTGACGGTCGTGATCGGATTTTAAGGTCTGCGCGTCCTTTGATGAAAGAAACGTGTGCTTGAACGCGTTGAGATGAAAGGAGTCTTTCACTTTCATGATCGTCGGATCAAGCAAACGTCCCCATCCTGTCCAAAGAGAAGTCCGCGGCCTCGTCACCTCCACCCCGACATGCGCCAGGCGACCGGAGACCTCCCAGCCGCGCAGCCTGCTTGAGCCCAGACCTTCGGTCTTATCGACCGCTTCTTTCAGGCACCCGCTTTCCACACCAGCCTCACCGCAGGCCGAATGTCTATCGGCAACACCCGAACCGCACAACGAATTGGATGAAAGAAAGGATCATTTCGAAATATATTGGGAGGGGGCGACGGAAGGGGGCTTCAAGCGAATACCAGGAAAGCAACAGCTTCATGCAAGACACAAGGGACCTGGATCAACCCCGAGCAAACTCTATCAAGAATAAACCTCTTTCGACAAACGCAGCCAAACTATATCCACTGATTTAGCACATTCACAAGAGGAACAATCCCCTCAAGCGTCTGGATAACCTTGTCGGAAAATCCTTCGGCCAGGACCTCAGTCTTCTTGAACCTCTTGACTAGCGCAAAGCTCTTAAGGCGTAGGAGTCTTATCCGAGGATGGTCCTTGGCGTATCCCTTTGGGGCGGTCTTGAGCGAGGAGTTTCCGGCCTGCGCAATGAGCGCCTTTTCCCCGTCGGTGCCGAACTCGCGACGGAGCGCTTTTGTTGTGAATGCGCGGTCGAGTGGTGATGCGTCCGCCGCCAGATGAGTTCGAATGGACGCGAGCTTGTCGGCGGGAGGCATCCTAACGGGTTTCGAGGATAAGGATAGGAGATTTAGAAATATGTGAGGCGCAAAAGGCTTCGCAGCAATTTGAACGGGGGGATATAGGGGCCGGAAAGCGAGCTTACCAGAGGCCGCCGCCAACAAAGGCTCCAGATCCGCTGATTTCAAGGTAGTATCCGGCAGTCTCGCCCTTTAGTGTATGATAAGAGGAGCATTCGATCAGTTGCTGATAATCGAGGAGTTGCCATCCGCTGCGGTTTATACCCCCGTCCGATTAACTCCCGCTTTCCCTAGATTTTTTACCTTCCTTCCGGTAGAGGTAAAGCCAGCGCTCAGATTCTTTTTATACGGGGATTTATCCGCGGAAAAGCGCACGTCTCGGTTAATGCGGAAGAGAAGGGATTTACCAGGAGCTTCGAGGATTGTCGGGTCCAGCCGACGCAGGCCAATCAGCACGACATCAACGAGATCGACAAAGTTAGATTTAGCAGCTTGGTAACGGTTCTAGAGGTTGTTAGGAAAAGAGAGGAGGGGTAAGCTTCAGCGACTATCAAATCAACCATGCGTCGACCCCCGATTGAGCACCATCGCATCACCACTCGGCATTTCATCACATGGAC